GGCATCTACGGGGGCAAAGAATGTGGTGAGGACAGTGGTCCATTTGCTTCTTTGACTGCGGGCTACGCTCCTCCAGCGGATCAGAGTCCCATGGCGCCGTCTGCGTCGACCAAGGATGTTCCGGGTCTGTCACCTGAAGCGTGGTCGGCGAGCAGCAACAGCGACATGCTACCAGGCCACGAGGTCAACCCGGCGCCGCAGAGCGTCCTCAGTTTCTCCGACGAAAGCATGAGTGCCGAAGATAGGTTGGCATACCATGATTTGCAGCTGCCTCTGGACGATTTGGACCCATTCCGGGGCATCATGATCCCGGCAGTGGACGACGAAATTGATGAATATGGAATGACTCACGGTTGGGACCGACGGCTGGCCGTCTGAGACTTGTTATGTTTTTAACGTGAAGGATTTTATATAAATTGGGCGCGATCAGGGAGGCGAATTCTTTTTATATGTCTTTCTTTTCACCGTGATACCTATTGTCTCTGGAGTCTTGTGGTTTGTTGAGTCTCTTGAGTAGACACCTTTTTCGTCATCTTAAGTCATTTTTTGAAATGGTCTTGGTATCAAGGTCATACTTATTTCATTGTTATTTATATTAGATGTTCCTCAAAGCAATGATTCTGTATATGAATCCTGCGCCGTTTCAATCACCGTCTCATAGGCCATGCATACTTGGGGACGCTCGCAAGTATGGGCAGCTCCAGAGGCACCGGATTGGTCGAATCGGGCAAGCCCGTCTAGGTACTACTTGCAGACGAGACACCTACCCAGGTACCTTAGGCGCCTGGAGGTTCTGGGGACTGTGGTAGGTTGGCCTTGTAGATCAATTGTGTCTGTTTGTTGTTTATCTTCTGGGGCTGGATTGCCATCTCATGGTGCAGGTGGTAGATAGATACATGTGATGGCTAATTCTTGACAACTGGCTGAGGTATGACAATCACATTTGCAACTGCAAAGCGGTTGATATCTCGTTCGATAATTGTCTGATAATAATAATGGCAGGCAAAACGCTTACAAAAAATCAAAATTTTTTTTTTTTTTTTTCTAATCAGCAGACCAGCAGTATCTTCTACCTATTTACCCGTGGCATCTCTGGTCTTGAATTCATGGAAAAATTATGGAGTACGGAGTACTGTAGAAGAATAGATCGGAGCAGCGTCCTCCGGACCGCAGCATAGTTCTGGAGCTCTCGACGGTGCCGGTTACTAATATCTACGGAATATTGTCAAGACATAGCGAGACTCGCTCCCGGAGGACTGTGTTGCGTTGCTATGTCGGTATTGCCTTTTCGTTGTGGAAGTTTGAGGATATCGCATTGCATTGGAGGGGAAAGTATTGGCAAATAGATTATTCCGGCGAAGAGATTCATACTTGCAGTGGACGAATTGCCCGATGATCGGCGTCGGTTAATGTCATCACCTTAGGGGGGCTTGCTGCTTGACTCTCTGTGAGTCTAAGTAGGCGACGGCAATTGATGACCTGAAGGGCTCTTCATTTGGTACCTAAGGTTCTAGATTGATAAGGATTATCTAAAATATAGTAAACTATTGCTATTATGCTAAATGCTTACTCTGCATGGCAAAAACTGGCAAAACTCCGCGGGAGAGGATGCCTGAGGTATGGACAGTGATAGCTGGAGTGGGGGTTTGCTACACAGCTCAACAGCCAGCACAGCACGACAAAAAAGAGATGAAGCTGTGTTCTCTCTATTTCGTATCAATTGGCAGAAAGCAACTCCAATGCACCAATTGAGCTATGATGCATCAGAGGCGACTCTTTATAGCAAATCATGGATGTCGGAAAACCCAAAGGCTACGGAATTCTGACCATCCCAACAACGTCAATCGAGCATTCGGTGAGTTGCTGCCCCACCGCCGACATCATTTCCCTTTCCATCCTACCACCCCCCCACCTTGTCTTGTCTCGTCCCCCTCCAACCGTAGTAAGCATTCGCCATAGCTCTCTACTCTACTCTACTCCTCTCTTGCAACCTTTTCTTGCTCCTTCTCTCTCTCGCTCACTTTCTCCTGAAACCCTCATCGAAAAGATTTCCAGAAGAAAGTTTGTTTAATAAGTACCATCTCCTCTCCGTCCTCCCCATCTCCCCTCTTCATTTACATCATCTAACATTCCGGAAAAAAAAAGTTAGCAATTATGGGTTACACCGAATTGGATCAATTGGCTATCAACACGATCCGTGTTCTTGCGGTATGCTCTATCTGGTTCCCCTTCCATAACGCCATATCTCTATAATACCCGAGTCGATGGTGGTGGTGATGGTTGAGATGCTGCTGTCTCCAACTTGTAACGACAGCTGGCCGCGGAACACCCCGCTCAGTGTCGAGGACAAGCTCGGATGACGGCTGTTTTTCCTTCATCAAAAAGCTATATCTCAGCTCCACCTTCATGGCATGGAAAGCAAATTGGTTGAAGCAACTTGCTAATCACTCATTCAGGTCGATGCCACCTTCAAGGCCAACTCCGGTCACCCCGGTGCCCCCATGGGTATGGCCCCTGTGGCCCACGTCCTCTTCAACAAGTTCATGAACTTCAACCCCAAGAACCCCAATTGGCTGAACCGGGATCGTTTCGTTCTCTCGTAAGCTTCCTCAGTCTAGAATGGAAGAATTTAATTGCTAATGCTCTTCATCAGAAACGGCCACGGTTGCATGCTCCAATACGCTCTCCTCCACCTCTTCGGTTACAATGTCACCATGGACGACCTGAAGAACTTCAGAGTATGATTCTTCCGTGAGTATCGAATAAGTAACGAGCGTTTGCTAATCCTGCGTAGCAAGTTGATAGCATCACTCCCGGTCACCCCGAGGCTCACGACACCCCTGGTATTGAGGTCACCACTGGTCCTCTGGGTCAGGGTTTCGCCAACGCTGTTGGTCTGGCCATTGCTCAGGCTCACACCGCCGCCGTCTTCAACAAGCCTGGCTATGATCTCGTCAACAACTACACATACTGCTTCTTCGGTGATGGCTGTGCTATGGAGGGTATTGCCAGCGAGGCTGCCTCCATGGCCGGTCACTTGAAGCTCGGCAACTTGATTGCCATTTATGATGACAACCACATTTCCATCGGTGAGTTCTTGCGGAAAGTAACATATATAACTCAATTACTAATTGTGATATTTTTTTTTTTTTTATCTAGACGGTGACACCAAGTGTGCTTTCACCGAAGATGTTACGAAGCGTTTCGAGGCTTACGGCTGGCACACCGTGTGGGTCAAGGATGGTGACCACGACCTCGAGGGCATCGAGGCCGCCATCAACGAGGCTAAGAAGGTCACCGACAAGCCCACCGTCATCCGTCTCACGACTACCATTGGTTTCGGTTCCAAGCTCCAGGGTACCGGTGGTGTTCACGGTAACCCTCTCAAGGCCGATGACTGCGAGAGTGTCAAGCAGAAGTTCGGCTTCGACCCCAAGCAGAGCTTCGTCGTTCCTCAGCAGGTCTATGACCTCTACCACAAGCACGCCGCCGAGGGCGCTGCCAAGGAGCAGGCCTGGAATCAGCTCCTCGAGAAGTACGCCACCGAGTACAAGGCCGAGCACGCCGACCTTGTCCGCCGTCTCTCCGGCAAGCTTCCCGAGGGCTGGGAGAAGAGCCTTCCCACCTACAAGCCCAGCGACGCTGCCGTCGCCTCTCGTAAGCTGTCTGAGGCTGTCCTCGAGAAGATCCACGATGTTATCCCTGAACTATTGTCCGGTTCCGCTGATTTGACCGGCTCCAACAACACCCGCTGGAAGAACGCCGTCGACTTCCAGCCCCCGGTCTACGGCATCGGTGAGTGGTCCGGTCGCTACATCCGCTACGGTGTGCGTGAGCACGCCATGGCTGCTGTTATGAACGGTCTTGCTGCCTACGGCACCATCATCCCCGCTGGTGGTACTTTCCTCAACTTCGTCTCCTATGCCGCTGGTGCTCTTCGTCTGTCCGCCCTCTCCCGCGTGCGCGTCATCCACATCGCTACCCACGACTCCATCGGTCTGGGTGAGGACGGTCCTACCCACCAGCCCATCGAAACTCTGGCTCACTTCCGTGCCCTCCCTAACTGCATGGTTTGGCGTCCCGCCGACGGCAACGAGACCAGCGCTGCCTACTACTCCGCCCTCACCGCCAAGCACACTCCTAGCGTCCTCGCCCTCACTCGTCAGAACCTGCCTCAGCTCGAGAACTCGACCATTGAGGCTGCTCTGAAGGGTGCCTACCCCGTCGTCGAGGCCCCCAACGCCACCATCACTCTCATCTCCACCGGTTCCGAGGTTAGCATCTGTATCGAGGCGGCCACCTACCTCAAGGAGAAGCACAACATCGTCGCTCGTGTTGTCTCCGTCCCTTGCTTCGAGGTCTTCGATGCTCAGCCCAAGGACTACAGACTCAAGGTCCTTCCCGACGGCATCCCCGTCTTGTCAGTTGAGGCTCTGTCCACCATGGGTTGGGAGCGCTACTCTCACGAGCAGTTCGGTCTCAACCGCTTCGGTGCCTCCGGCCCCTACAAGGAGGTCTACAAGGTAAGACTCGACTTCAATTATCACTTGATAAAGAAAACGCCAGTACTGACTTGTTTTTCTCTAGAAATTCGAGTTCACTCCTGAGGGCATTAGCAAGCGTGCTCTTGCTACCATCGACTTCTACAAGGGCCAGCCCGTGCGCTCGCCCATCAACCGTGCCTTTGAGCAGATTCTGTAGAAGTCTCGCGTTAGCGTCATGATGGATTTCCTTTCTTAGTGTCATGTTTACGGCTCGACGAATTTCTGTTACTTTTAAATGTCTTATCGGTCCTATCTCCCATGGTTGTTGGTGAAACTCTTCTAGATTTAGAGGATCAAAATAAAATTATGTCATAGTATAGTCGCTCATCGCGCTCATGAGTAGTAGTCGGTATGAACGCCCCTTAAGAGAATACACAGCAAATCCAAAAGCTCGATATCGTAAAGAACATCATTTTCATTGAGTAATTACATTTACATGCTAACCGTAATTTTGATTCACGCATCCAGAGCCTTGCGGGCAAAGTTGGGCAGAACGAAGCTGGCCCGGTGAATGTCCTGGTTGTAGTAGCGGCAGAGACGCTCCTCCTCCTCGCGGGACCAGGAGCGGACGGGCTCGCGGACGTTGCGGTTGGCATCCTTGCAGCAGACCATGAAGCCGATCTGGCCGGAGGGGTAGGTGGGGATTGTGGTGTAGGCGTATTCGGCGACGGGGAAGACCTCCTTGCAGGCCTTCTTGAGGTCGGTGATGAGAGACAGATGCAGCCATTGGTTCTCGGCTGTGAGCGGTAAAACACGAACCCAAACCGATCCCGGGTGGGGAGTCGGGTGGTTTGGGACGTAGACCAGTCAGCTTCGTTTTCTTGTTTTTCCATAGAAACAGATACAGATACAGGTAAAGATACAGACAACAAAGATATGGGGGTTGAATCGGGGAGGAAAGAAAGGCGAGGAAAGAAGAGGAGATGACAGGAGAGGGTAAAGTGACAAAGGGCAGATGAGAGAAAGGAAAGGCGACGAACAACCTTGTGTGGTGATGACACCTCCGTCACGGAGAGCATCGCGCAGGAGCTCAAAGTAGGGCTTCTGGAAGAGGCTCTCGGCGGGACCCTCGGGGTCAGAGCTGTCGGTGATGATGACGTCGAACTCGTTCTTGCGCTCCTTGAGGAACTGGAAACCGTCGCCGATGTGGACCTTGACGTTGGGGTGCTGGAAGCCGATGCTCATGCCGGGGAGATACTTCTTGGAGACACGGATGACAGCCTTGACAAGTCAGCGATCGACATCATTCAGATCTATTGTAGATAGGATATACCTCATCAATGTCGCACAGGATGGCCTCCTCGACGGACTCGTGCTTGACAACCTCACGGAGGACACCACCATCTCCACCACCGATGACCAGAACCTTCTTGGGGTTGGGGTGGGAGTTCATGGCCAGGTGAGTGATCATCTCCTGGTACCTGCAGTGACACAGAAGAAAGCTTGATTAGAAGCTGCCGGAAAACATTGCGCGGTGGGCGGGAAAACATACGAGAACTCATCCCGCTCGGTGCACTGGATGACATTGTCCAGAACGAGGACGGTGCCGTAGTCGGTGCTCTCGAAGACAAGGACATCCTGGTACTTGGACTTCTCGTGGTGCAGGATCTGGTTGACCTTGAGGTTCATGGCCTGGCCGGGCCACATATCCGACTGCTCGGAGAACCAGCCATCTGAGGTGTCGTCAGCTGAATTGATTCAAGACAACACACAAAACAAGCGATTCAGTAAAGCAATTGATGTCGAATCAAAGTAGATTGAGGTATATTGAGGTTGGAGAGAACCCATTGGTGGATAGGATTGGAATTATTGGCGATGTGCTGGAAGCGGGGTAGTTGGAAAAAGTGATGGAGGGGCTGACGGTGATGCACCGATAAAGATCGATAGACGATACGTGAAGGAAAAGTAACATACCCTTGATAGTGGAGTGAGTGATCTCGGACATGGTGATGGAGTGGAAGGGATGTCGACAAGGAGAATGAAGACGAAGGACAGAGGACGGAGAGGGAGAAGCAAGACACGGGCGCAGAGGAGAAGAAAGAAATGAAGTCTTTGGAGCAAAAGAAAAGCAGAAGAAGCGCATGCGGGAGTGGGGTCGGAATGTTGGCCTGGGTGCCTGACTGCCTGATGGGACTTGAGATGTGGGCAGTTTTTCCCTCACTTCTTTTAGTCTACCCTTTTGTGCTATTTTTCTGCCTTGAGAATTCTGTTCTGATGGGCCAAGAGAGATTTCTTGGGCACGGTGGGGCCCTTCTACTACGTATTAGTACTCCAATAACTGCGGATACTCCATAGTACCTTAGGTATGTATACACAGTTGTATATGACTTTTCCTCTTGACATCTCCTCTGACCAGCTTCTCTTTCTATAGCTAGCTAGTTTCCCTCCCCTTTCTTGGTGACATTGACGGTTATGGCACCGACTATCTTCTGCTGCATATATGACACCCTCATACTGCGATAAGCGGCACCCGTCCTGTCAAAAATAAGACCTCAATGACCGGAGATAACCGTTTCATCGTCCAAATGCCTATGGCAGTTCGTCCGTCATTATTCTTTAGCCCTAAACACACGCACCTTCAATCGCAAGCTGCTCCATGAATTTGATATGTCTCTTGATTGCAGCTCCTGGAAGTGTAGTATCTCCTCAGCATCTAGGTGGATCGGGATTCGTTCCACGAGCAGCAAGAAACGTGTACACAATCTACATTCCCATTTCTCAGATCATGCAGAATTGGAATATAGTCCAAACGATCTTTCGGATGTGATTTCAACCCGTCAAAGTCTGACCGCTCCCTCAATATGTAGGCGTCTACGAGTCCCGTAGACATCCCTATTTGCCGCCAAAACAGAGGCGTCTGTATGTGACCAACAGACTCTGAGGAGAGATGCAGGGGTTCGTCCGGGCTATTCGGGCCCTACCGCTGCAGTTGATGGGATAGTATGCCCCAGCGAGAGGGTTCGTTTGAGCGCATCTTAGGAATCTAGGTTGACATCAGCCAAAACTGATCAGACTTGAAATCAAACCCAGCCACTGGACCAACCATGTGAACTGTACCGCTGCGCAGTCACATGGCTATAATAACTACTCAGCAGCCTAATTGGAGTTCGTAGAACCTTCAAAGATGCAGTTAAGAGGTGCACTCACAGTATAGAAGAAAGCCTGAGAAATCAGGCGACTGCGAAGGACTTGAACTGAGCCAATAAGAGTTCGCCTAAAGTCATACTACTTTAGGTATTGCCTATGGAGGTCAACTAGACTGTCATATCTCAACCTCTTACATACTTTCCTTCTGTATATCGAGCATTGAACAATATAGTAGCATTCTGTCAAACATCTTTTAGTGCTAATTGCGATGTATCCATGGCGGTGATAGCCGAATATGCCGATTTAAAGTCAACAACCAGACGCGGCCATTACCAAAAGCAGTCTAGACAGACAAGAACAATTGATTGCTTTCTAGTTACTGTACATTGCAATCACACAGTACCCTCCTCCTGACGTCACGGCCTGATTCAAATCCTACTTTCCATTTTCAAGGTAAAGAAAAGGCATCCATTTATTCCTCAGCCCCCTCAGCCAGGCGACCGGGCTTGGAGTTAAGGTACTCGTTTCTAGACAAAGGCGACAATCAGCAACTGGTTTGAAGCCCAAAGAGCGCAGTGAGACGCAAGTGGACGCATACCTCTCAATAGCCCAGTTCATGGCGGCGTAGGCGGCCACGAAAGGAGGAACGACGTAGAGAACCTGGCCTCTGAATCTGCGGAAAGTGTTGAAGATGGCAGCGTGGAAAGCACCAGCGAGAGGGCGCTGACGGTTGGAAGACAGAGAGTAGGTGACAATGCGCTGGGGAGTCGTGCAGCCTAAGGAGCAAGAAACGAAGTATTAGCATAGGCTGAGATATCGCATGTCGCATTCTGCGGTAATCAAGTTTGCTTGGAGCAGACTCAGGGCTTCGAAGCGTCTTTGGAATCCGAATGCCGGTCGAGATGCAGTAAAATGTTTCACAAGTTGAGGTCGGGGGCCATAAACCTACCCATGTCACCCCAGTCGCCGAGATAACTACATTAGGCATATTGTCAGCGCATCCAATAAATCAATATTGCGTCAATGGCTATTTAGGACGAAAAGAAGAGTCGACAGCCGCCTTCCTCCTCTGATGAAGGAATACAACCGCCCACGGATCGTAGGGATATGGAAGCCGCCTGAGACCGCAATTCAAGGGAACTTACACTCCGCTCTTAGGATCAAGATGACCACCCATTGTTAAGATTGCCGGAAGGACCGAAAAGTGCAGAGAAAACAAGCGTTGATGAGTAGCACAGGGCGAAAGCAGCAGCAGAAAGACAGACGAGGTCGACTCGGGCCAAAACGGCGAAGTTGGGAGGTTTGGCCCTGCGTCCGGCGCTAGTCCCGATTGGGTCAGCATGCGAAAAGCCCGACATCATCAAATGAGAGACCGCAGTACACGACCACCTTCTATTAGTGTTGACGACTCCGTTCCCATCACATTCCATCTCATCCATCATGGCGGCTAACGGTCTGTACAATCTTTACCGGCTCGCCATTCCCGTGGCGACGGGTGCGATGATCTTCAACGCTTCCATCTACGACGTCCGCGGTGGAACACGGGCGGTCATCTTCGACCGATTGAGCGGTGTCCAGGAGAAGGTCGTCAACGAGGGTACACATTTCCTGATCCCTTGGCTGCAGAAGGCGATTGTCTATGATGTTCGAACCAAGCCTCGCAACATCTCCACTACAACGGGAAGTAAGGACTTGCAGATGGTGAGCTTGACCCTGCGAGTCTTGCATCGCCCTGATGTCCCGAAGCTCCCGGTCATCTACCAGGTGAGTCCACACTGCTCGAAGCCTTGAACCGAGGCATTCTCTCACATGTAGGACAGACCTACGGTACCGACTACGACGAGCGTGTCCTCCCCTCCATCGGAAACGAAGTCCTCAAAGCCATCGTGGCCCAGTTCGACGCCGCAGAGCTCATCACACAACGAGAGGCTGTCTCGAACCGTATCCGCACCGACTTGTTGAAGCGTGCCGCACAGTTCAACATCGCCCTGGAAGATGTCTCCATTACGCACATGACCTTCGGAAAGGAGTTCACACGGGCCGTCGAGCAGAAGCAGATCGCGCAGCAGGACGCCGAGCGTGCCCGGTTCATCGTCGAGAGAGCCGAGCAGGAGCGCCAGGCGAACGTTATCCGTGCGGAAGGTGAAGCCGAGAGTGCCGAGATCATCAGCAAGGCCGTCGCCAAGGCCGGTACTGGTCTTGTTGAGATTCGTCGGATCGATGCCACAAAGGAGATTGCTCAGACGCTGTCGAATAATCCTAACGTCACGTACCTGCCAGGCAACGAAGGCAAGGACGGTGGAAAGAGCACAAGCCTCCTGCTGGGTCTGAGAAATTAAGGGATGAGGGGATGAAGGAGTCCGGGTGCTTGAAGAAAACAAGGCACGAGGCCGGTCACCCAATGTGACATTTTATTGTATTGATCTCATTTATTCCAACAGGATGGGGATTTGGGCTTGCATGATCTCCTGGCGAATTGATGCTGTATGGTTGTTCCTCTGTTTCTCTTTACTCATAGTCTTTACTTGTAGCAATAGTATATCCATTCCTCTCTACAAGTCCCACATATGGTATTATTGTCATAACCCTATCTCATAGCCCCCACATAGAGTGATCTGGCTGTCCTGTCCCTAATCAGCCAACCTGCGATAGACATGTATCTGGAACCGCATATCCTCCAACCCTGCTCCTTCACCAACATAATACCGCAGCCTGGCCGCATCCCTCCGCCACCAGCGTGAATCCTGCTCATAGATCTTCTCCCACTTTCCCGCCGCAACCGACAATAGCGTATGATCTAGTAGAAACTTCATCGGATACCGTCTCTCCTGCAGCGCCGCCGAGGCGCCATCCGCCTCCGCGTCCTTCTTCGCCGACTTCCCCAATTTCAACGTCGAATAGCTACCCGGACTATCAACAACCAGAAAGACAGTCCCCGCTGCCAACAGATCCGTCGCGCGGAGCAAGAACTCCGTCGTCCTGGCCATAGACGTCGAGAAGAGCTCGTTAAGCGTGAACATGAGCGTAACCAGGACCGTGCGGGCCGGCGCCGCCGCGTCGTCTAAATGCAGTATCTTCCTTAATCCCTCCTCAGCGAGCGAGAGGACATCCGCGCGTTCAAATCTAACGACGAAGCTGTCTGCCCTCTCCGACTGTAATGGCGCAGGATGCGACTTTGTGCCCAGAACAGCGGGAGACCGGATCGTCCGCGCCAACCGGTCCACGACACTCGACCAGTCGGCGATATCCACAGCCGTAACAGCCAGCCCTGGCCGCGGCGACGAGGTCGGAGTCGTAACTTTGTCTTGGTTTTGACACTGCCCGCCGCTCTCGTCCTCTAACGAAACCGTACCAACACTATCCGAGAGCGCGGTCTCGTCCATCATATCCCGCCAGGCAGTCGCAAGCGCCATGATTTCTGCACCGGCTCCGCCCCCAATACAGACGATATGGTTCGTCTCCTTCGCCTGGGCCCGGATCTGAGCTCCATTACTCCCGCACAGCAACGTCCGCAACACAGACTTGAAGATCCCCGCATACCCCAGCGCGCGGGACGCACTCCAACGCAGCGCATAAGCGCGCAGGAGGTCCTCATCGGCATCAGCAAAGGCCGAGTCAAAGTCCCGATTATACAAATGGGACTTGATAGTTTGGACCAGAGACTTGATATCTAGTTCTTCTTTTCCAGCGGGGGCGGTCGTCTGAGCCTGGGATTCGCTGTCAGTCTCAGCCCTCGGCGTTTGTGCTCTATATTCATTTTGATGGTCATGGTCATGCGGCCCGTCACTTGGAAGCAAAGCCGTCTTGAATACGTTCAGCAGCAGTTGCTGGAGTGTCAGCGGGATGGTGGCGGAGAGATCGATCTGGTTCCCATCCTGACCAGTCTGGTCATGCCGTGACGGTGCCGTTTCCTGTTTGCTCTGCTGCGGCCTTTTCTTTTCTTTTCGACTGTCACGGCCTGGGGGGTTCTTTGATGCGGATTTCTTTGAAGCACCTGATCTTGGTGGTCCCATGTCCTTGAATATTGTTGCAGATTTCGGCTTTTGATTGGGTTGCTGAGTTTCATTTTGTTGGCTGGCTTTGGTTATGAATTTTTGGCCTGGTATTCGGCCCGCCATCCACCGATTTAAATTTATGTCGGCTTGACAGGTCTACTCTCTACAACGTTAATAATATTCATCCAGTTTCTTGACATTTTGAAACGAGTATCACATTCGAACTAAGATAGTCTGCAGGAAACAGACGTGACGTAATTCGTAATGCAGATCTACGCCCAAGAACTACATGGCCCTCAATCGACCTCAAAAAAAGCTCTCGACATGTAAATGTCTTGTATTTGACAACGACGATTGGAGTGTAGATTCACTGACATGTAGCCTCACAAATGTGCAGTTTGTAACGCCAAAGATAATTGAAAAGCCTGGATGAATGCGAGAGGCATATCCATCATGGGACAAGAAACAACAGAAGCGCTCATGTAATGTGGCCACCACCGTCAATGCAACGATGTTGGCGAATGCGCAAATGACCGCCAGAGATTAGAAGGAAGAAAAGAGGCTAAGAAATGAATGACCAGAAGTAAATGCAACGGCATTGCTTGCCCATAATAACAATCGGACATCAACGAGGGACAAGAAATTGAAACAGAGCATCATACTCTTACGCTTAAAAGGCATGCCGAGAAAAGAGATTCGTCAGTAATCTCAACCGAAATGGGAAAGTAGAACAAAGGCTGGAATGGCCCCGCAAGGAATGAACCTGCAAAGACCATGCGGACTGAATCGTTCATAATGTGGATCAATATGTACAGAATTAAAGTGAAATCGTTGAAGTGGCGGAAACTGTTCATGACGGCTGATCTTCTCGAACAGCCTCCTCGTTCAGCTTCTCCTTGTCTTTCGTCCTCCAAAAATGCATGAGACGGCTGATACGACGGCTCTTCTTCTTCGACTTCTCGAGGACATCACCAGGCGGCTTTTCCTCGTAACTCAGTTTGCTTCTCTCGCCATGAGGACCACCAACGAGTTTGGATAAACTAGCCAAGCTTGACCTCTTCTGGCTGTGAGCTTGACTGCTGCGGCGATTGCCGGCGGCAGAAAAAGAAGCCGAGCGGTCAGTGGAAAGTCGAGAACGATGGAAGAAGGTGCCTGAGAACCGATTCAACGTATTTGTTGTGGTCGACACACTGCTGGTCAAAGACGGCACATCATCCACTGAAACCTGATGATAATCCACAGATGGATTGTACGATGGGTTGGAGAAGTTGTGATCTGTTGTCGAAGCTGTTGTGATAGAGCGAGGAGCATCGGAAGAAGACAAAGTGAAGTCCGGAGACGGGAAAGAAGATTGAGATAGCGAACAGCTACTCTGCAGGGAAAATTGGGGTATGGTGCCAGTGAGTTCCAGAGGAGACGTCGCCGGCCGGGTGTCAGCAGGCAGAAATCTTGGTGAAATCTCAGGACTAGGGGGAACTGGCGGTTTGTTCGGCCAATTCTCGTGTTTGATGATTTCTACGGGGCTCTTTGGGTGGCTTGTGAAAGGATTCTTAGCACTGTGGAGCTGGTCAACAGCCCTCTCATGCGCAGATATTCCGGGATCCCCAGGGGTCTCCTGGCTTGCAGGAGCAGAGGTGGAAGCTTCCGGCCCTGTTTCCTCGTTGTTCTGGATGCCAAGGCCAGCTCGTTCTGTGCTGGATCCGGCATCCGCTGACCTTCGAGTCAACGTGTCGGAGGTGGCCTTGCTATGCACCGTTATCTGGTCCGAATTATCGGGCTGTGTGACGACATTAGACTTGGAGGCTGCCTGATCTTCTTCCTTTGGTGATTCACTAGTAGCCGCCAAAAAGGCGTCCTCCTCTTCCTCATAGAAAACATCAGGATTTTCCAGAGTGGAGGAATTGATAAGGCGGTTGTTGAGAAAACTGCGATCAAAAGGAGGCATCTCCGGAGCACTTTCTGCACGTCGATGATAGCGCATTTCAGGCCCGACGAATTCACCGCGTCGTCCACCACTGTACATACGTCGGGATACAACAGAAAACCCATTCCCGACAACCCTATCGGCACGCATATCAGGTGTGTTGAAGGGTCCTAGAGCTGCATCCAAGTCGATGACTGGACTGAGAGCATCATCCTGTACGCCCTGCTCGTAGAAGCTCCTTGGCTTCCAGGAGTCTTCGAATGACGGCTGCTCCAGGGCTGCCCGGCTCGATTCGGGGGCGTTGGGATTTGTGGGAGTGCGGATGACAACGATGTTATCATCGTCAAAATCGACATCCAGCCCCGAACCAAGATCAGAGTTGGTTCTGGTGATGACCGGTGGATGAACTTCAGAGTTTGTTCCTCCAGTTTCCTTCTTCGAGTGATGCCGCTTGGCCTTGCTGCGGATTAATATGGAGCCTGCCCAAGATCGTACCTTCTTTTGCCTCTTCTTAGTCTTGGATCGCCTTTTCTTCGAGGCACGAGGTTCAGCTGAATCATCATGGTCATCGCCAGATGTATCCGAGCCTGACCCAGTGGATGATGAACGCCGAGAAGAGTTCATTGAGTGACCGTCGTCACCAATTCGATTTTCCTTCCCAATAGCTGCATCAAGAAGTCCAGAAGACAGACTTTTGTAGACTCGAGAGTGTCCAGTAGCAGAGGATGGTCGCTTCATCTGCGATACATCGCCAGAGACCACATTTCCACCAAGATCAAACATCAAGAGCGCATCGGCAGTCCTGGGTCTAGGGGATAGCTTTTCAGGAGCAGAGGACGCCGCCTCATTAGCAGCGAGAAAACCATCTTTACCAGACTTCCCGCTATTTCTAGCAACCGGCTGTGACTGGTGGGAGCCCATGGGTCCAGGACTTTTCGACTTCACTGGCAAAACTGGTCGTCCACTAGCAGGCGATCGATCTGGTGACTCATTGTTAGCCCGATTGGGCGAGCTTCCGGCGAATGGAATCTGGGGAGAGGCTGGAGGTGTTGGTCGACTCAGAGGTGTCGTTGGGTAGGAGACGGGCCTGTGTTGTTCCTCATGTGCGCCGTTTTCACGCCTTGGGTCTACTGGTGTCGGCGGTGTACTTCCTGCCGGTTTCGGCGCAAGTGCTTTAGTTATTTCTGCAAGATCTACACCAGAGACCGCTGCTGATCGTCGATGGGCATGGTGACGTCGTCCGGGCCCACCTGCACTGAACCCAGGGCCAGGAGCAGGGAGTTTAGCAGGACCTGGCAATGAGTTTTCATCGTTGCTCTGGCCGGTCTCTGTCCCTCCCGAAGTGACTAACTGATCTCCTCCGATGAATTCACTAGGTCGCCGACGGTGTCCACCAGCTCGAGCCGGGGGAACTGCTGATACTGAGGATTGCGTGCCATGGGTCGATCCAGGGTTGAAGGAGAAGGCTGGCAGAGGGGGAGGAATTCTGATTCTTGGCTCAGGCGCCGCGGACGGCTGGATATTCGGGGTTTCTGGATCGCGAGCCGGAAAGACGAATGGTGGGTTGGGAAGAGGCGCGGCCATGCTTAAATTGCGACGGCTGTGTCGGCTGGGAGACTGGCCAGGAGAATCGAAATGCTGAGACAAGGCTGCGGGTGACTGAGGTGGCAGAGGCAGAGAGATCGAAGCCATGATTAGCAGTGGACAGCACTACCTGCTGGTCAAAAAAACAATCCGCCCAACTCCGTGAAAAGAAGATATCCACAGTTAATTGATCCGGATGCACAGGGACCTCCAGACCAAGTGACTTTCCTTCGGTGTAATGGAAAGCCTGGCGATGTCTGGAGGTCTTCACCTTCGCAAAGACACCATTGAATGTGTTGAAAGATTCCACAAGCTCGAAGGCGACGATCCCAATCAAAGTCAAGTTTCGGTCTGCGAGATACAGAAGAAAGGGAGATAACGAAGGGAAATAGAAGTGGAAAAACAACTCCTAGGGCTGCAGTTCCAATATCCAACAATCGAGTCGATTTAAGTAAGGCGATATGCGCAGTGAGTTCAAATCCGACCGGAGTTGTTGATGACAGCGCAGATCTGAATTGTTGTTTGGGTTAAGGAGCGGACGGCCACAAGAAGGGCCAGAGGGAGAAATTTCGAGACGAGAAGAAGAGGAGGGGACGGAAAGAGGAAAGGAGAAAAAGGAAGCGAGAGAAGGAGAATGAGGGAAGTCAAGAGGAGATGGAGATGGAGATGAGGATGAGGATGAGGATGGGGAAGTAAAGAGGCGGGAGTAACAGACTTGGTAGAACTAGCAGACTACAGGAAAAAGAAAAGACGAAGATGGAGCAACCGACGGAAACCAAGGAGGAGAAGGCTGATTTGCGGGCGGAGAGAATGACGGGTACCTTAGAGCGAAGGCAGCGAGAGAGAGCCAGGAGGAGAAGGGCGAATGTGTGGAGGGCAACACACACTGATTGGCTGTTCTGCAGGGTAGAGTGGGGCCCTGGTGGTCCAAGGACAGTTAGTAACTTTCCTTAGCGTAATTTGTACCTGACCTGACCGGTTCAATACACGGTATTACCCGCTCCAACCGATCAGAAACCCACTTCACCAGACAATGTGTGACAGGAAAATTAACGAACTGCTGCAATACAGGTATCTGACAGGTCTACAGAGTACGAGAATCAGCTGCCTATTATTATTATTATTATTATTAGGTTCTAATTTCCCATGATTCATAGATATTCGAACTAGACTAGCTGGGTATTATTAAATATTCATGAATAATGGTCCATCATCCTCCGACTTAAGAACCTAGCAGACAGGAAACCAAGGTAGTGAATGATGAAGCGGCCCCAGTTGGCTGCGGTCGCTGGGACCGACCGTTGCTGAGCCCTTGTTCGGTTCTTGCATCTCCGGGACAGGATCTAGAGTCCTTGAGGACCGGAATGAACAAGTCAACATGTGAGTGTCATAGAAAATTCTCTTTTGATTGTGACTGGAACATCTCCAAGGTGAAAGCGTCATGGACCCTGCGTTGCCACTGGGTGTACGAGTTCAACCCTGGTTAGGGGATAAGACACGGACGCCCTTGAAAGTCTGCCAAATCTTATTAAATCACCCGTGGTTTAATCTTGTTATTCAGCAGACATCATAATAATAATCAATCAATAATAGGTTCAAATTGTTCGGGATTCGACTATGGTTTAGACTAAATGCATCTCATAATCAAAAATTGTCAATAGCTGCAGTTCCCACTGTAACATTAATATTAACCATGATCATTTCCGAAGTGAACACTCGGAGAAATCCCTCCAGGCACCAACTGCATTAAATGCCCGTTCCTGACGGCGTATCCAATCAGCAGTGCAGACAGACGAGTTGAAATCTCCCTAGTCCCATGAAGGTAACCTTGAACCAGAAATGAACTAGTAGTACGGAGTAGTAACCTTACAATGGTCTAGTGTATTTTACCAGGCACATCAACAATAAGATGGTGATCCGGTGATCCCTGCTTTGCTTGATATCGTTAGTTCTCACAGCCTCTTGAACTGCTCATTTCTGAAGGACTCGGTTCCATAGAATGGCCGGATGGCTTGACCCTCGATGTGGCGTTCTTATTCCTAAGATTATGACACGCAAACTGTACAGCTGGAGACAAATATATCACTCTCAATTTTGAAGAAAACCGACATGGGCTAGATGTTGAGCAGCCCCTTGTTGGCGGGTGGAGTATGAGCGGCTACGTAAAGGTAGTACGTAGATATGGCGCATCTTTGCGGATTGCGGACTGCTTAAATTCGCCGTTATGGATAATCGAGGCAAGTGTCAGGCATTTGGCAATTGACACATTCCTGACAGATATCCTGATAAATCCAAACTATGGCGGCCCCTCCTCCCTCCTTGGCATAGTACCTCAGGCTTTCAGCTCTATTATAAAGTACAAGTACTCATCTTTCTAGGTAGATATCTATGTATCCATGTCAGCAATTGCCAAGGTATAAGGCAAGACTCATGGATAACCTGTAACAAATACAAGAACTGCAGATTGATAGCCTTGTCCAGAAATTGCTTCTCATGCCATGGTCAACTACAGTGGTGTGATGCTCCATCTTCGAGAGATATTAGAAATTCTCTCCAGACGCCAGGATGTGTTTCCTTGTCCATTTGTTTCATCTCTAGATAGCGCAGTTTGATCATCAATGCATTGTTTATCTGATTCTATTTCGGGAACAAAGCAGGCACGAATTATCAAGCCCACATTCGAAACATACTGGAATTCTCAATCAATCGCTTCAATCGCATCACTGTCTCAGACCCCTACAAGACTGCGGGAACCAAGTCATTATTGATGCTTATCATGCCGCTGTTCGCGTCGCAAACATCAAGGAACTGCATCGGCGCTTAACCTGCGTACTCGCTTTGTGATACTTATCGTTACTATTTCTGGTTACTGATAGAGTGTTTGTCACTCTGTTCCCCGCAGCTACTGTACTTGTGCCCTCAAGAACCTGCATCCGATAGCGAGTTGCGGGATAAGTCACCCTGGAAAGGCAGATACCGCTGTCAACATCCCGCAACTGCGTTACGATCAAACAGATTTCCTCAGGCAATGGATCCCGTGGATGGATAAAAATGATTCTCACCCAGGTTTTAACTATTCTCCAGTAATTACCCCAGCTTACAAAACAATAGTCGATGGGGATATTCCCAATAAGCCACGTTGCATGCAAGGGTCTTTCGTTATGGATATCTTGGCTTACTTTCGATGTCTCATCGATGTATCGCAGGCAGAACTATTATTGGATTTACCAGTTGGACGATTCAGATATTGATCCATGGTTATGTCAGCGGGAACTCTTCTCTGACCTTGGAACCAGTCGGCGTCTTAATCCACTCGATGAATGCTCTACCCAGTAGGGCCAGTACAACTGTACAACTTCCGGATCTACCGGTTCACACAAAGACGATTAGATAAGGGCTGACATCCATATGCAAAGCAACCTAACCGGCGAAATCCGGGAGCGAATCTCAGCCCTATGAGATGTCCCATGGTTACACTGCAGATAGGTGGGCATTCTTTTGTTAGATCGAGATTACCGCTTTGGTGTCGATGATCACGGCGATAACCTCGTCGCACCTAATAGGTTCTTAAAGTTTGTAACAAGCATCTGCCTGGACAGCGCCACGATGTTGATCCTGATCCTGATCCTGATCCTGCACCAGGACACTCTTGTTATCCTCCTGCGAGCTGACGGGTACGTCCAATGCAGGGTTCCTCCAGAAGAAGTTCACCGGTTTCAACGAGACCGTCATTTTCTCCGCCGGCATGACGGGCCAGTCCTCAACGCGGGGGTTATGCGTCGTCCCGAACGTGTGCCAGATCACAATATCCTCGTTGCGCACGCTGACTGGCACCGGTCGCGATCTGATCCAGGAGGCGATGCCCTCTCCTCCCAGTGACTGCATCGTGTGCTCGCCTGCGCTGTACCGCTCCTCGTCGCTGTATCTGGTTACCCAGACAGCGTGGTCGGCAAATTCAGAGCGCTTGAAATGGTAGGATGACGGGTGCGCCAGTACCATTTGCGAGTAGTGCGGAACAAGCTTGTAGCCGACTGGTCCGCCGGACATGGGGTTCTTGACATTTTCGTTGATGATCTTGAATACTCGTCCTCTGCTGACGTCAAGATCCAGCGGCGTTTCGGACTCAACGATGTGGTTCACAGTTGTGTATCCCACCCCGAAAGGGTTATGAGCGTCGGGGTCGTTGAAGGGCATTGCGTGGGATTCCTCTACCATCAGGGAGTTTTTGTGCCCATCAATAGCCGGGTCGATTCGCAAGGAGAAGAGGTGCTGATGGTACGGCGCCATGACCCCGGGGGCCACAATGGTTCCATATGGCGCTGTCTGGCCCAAGTTGATGGGTGCCGTAGATAGAATGCCTGTTGCGCGGACCTCGTAGTTGACCGACGCATCTTGAGTGAAGTGAAATGCAAATATGTACTCGTAGTTCCCGACTGTGATGATCGTCTGCAACACAAGGACGCGCGACCTTGTCACCACGGCATTCTGCGTCCGATAGTTGGTGTGCTTCCACAGTATGCCGTCATCAATTTCGTGGCAGCAAACTACATTTGGTAGAACTATCGGGTCGCCAGCAGAGGTGTGATGGTATCCATCAAAGTATTTGATATGGCCTAAGCAATCACACCCTTTTCATCCTTGTTAGCATTGTCTTGCCATCAATCCTACTTTGAATGAATGCCTACCCAGCTTGAGGTTATTTGAATTCACACCGGCCAAGTTCGATCCAAGGTCGAAAGCAGCCTTGCGCGGATATGGGGCACGGCTGTCGCCATAGGGGACAAACATCTCAGATAGGGATAGTCTGTAGAAAACGCTCCGACCATCATAGGTAATATCGTGGAGCGTCAAGCCCTCCCGCTAGAGAAGGCACACAGTGTCAATGTGAAATCAACGGCTGCTCCTGGATGGTGACTCACATAGTTGAAGCCAACTCTCATCCGCCACTTCTCCCATGTGAGCAGATTCCCATGGACCTGAAACGAGGGCCCATCTGGCTGGACGACCTGGTACGGCTTGGTTGTAGTTCGCCTCTCGGTGACAAGATCGGGATGATATTCGCTGGTGTGGTGGATCTTGTTCCGATCAAACGGCTTAACACCGACCTCACTGACAAGCCCAGTCTTGTCGTGCTCACCCAATGGTAGAGACAGAACTCGTTTCACCGTAAGATCGCCCGACATCTCCACGCATATATCTAGTGGATACGCGTAATGGTTCGCATCACCATGGTTCCCAAGACGCATATAGAAGTAACACTGTACGGAACGTCACTACTACACTCTCCGAAGTGCACAAGTACTATACCATGATAATTCGCTCCGACATATCGTTCATTCCGTCGGTTCCATACGTCCAAGGCTCAATACACACGACAGCCTCCTCGGGGAGTTCCAGCAAGCGAATAGCCTCCTGCACCTCGGCCGAGGCAATACATGCGTTCTCAGCAGCCTGCATCTCATCCGTGTCGACATAGGAGTGTCTTCCCGCGAGGTCTTTCTCTTTTGTGATCTTGCCCGTGTCCAATTCAAGATGAACCTCGCGAAAATCTGCTGCTGTGTTCTTGTAGAACTGAACGAACGCACTCCGCTTTGGAGCAGTGATGTCCCGTTTGCCAGAACGCTCTGCTTCTAGATATGGTATCATTAGAGCTTTGGGAGGCTCCAAAAGGGTGACTACCCTGAAGACGAGCTTATCGCTCGGATATGCATTGTTCAGATAACGCACGGCCTGAATCATCAGCTCACATTGCACAATAGCCGCGTTTGTGAAGGCACAAACTTACCAGCGATATCTCTGCCGGAGACAATGGATCGAGGGGATGCGGCATCATAGCCATGTTGGTGAGCTATTCTATCAATAAATCTGGACCGGTTAACGCAATCGACGACGGGAAACCCGAAGTTGGAACAACGAGCTATACTGATGGGAAGGCATGGCTCTTTAAAGTCCATGGACACAGCCAAGCAGTCCGGCGCAGAGCAAAACCACATCATTCCACCGCAACTGCACCATCTAAGGAACTCAGAATACGCTGAACCTTTAGAGGTAGGTTGATGCGGAGTGCCACATCGATGGTGACTGATAGGTCAACACCTCCGATAGTCAAGTGCCGTGATAGGATGGGAACTGGATGCTTTATCAACTTCAACCTTAGAGGTAAGGATTGTCAATGGCAATGATGCTAGAGCTTCTGGATAAGGTAGTCTATACGAGAGGAATTCAACACAATTGTCGCATTGGTTGTCAAGCAGCAAATGTTCTCGGCGGATGTGAGAGCAAGATGCTTCCCCCGGCACCCCGCCTCTCTTCTTTTGCTTCAACAATTTACACGTAAGCTGAAGAATAAGGGAGACTTGCTCTACTCACACCTGATAATTTACGATGGTATACACCTCGCGAGCGGCACCTTGTTGAGCTTGATCAGTCTAGATCTAGGTCTTGGTAACAGTGGTGCCAGAAATAATCAAGCTTCCACCTTTGGCCCCGATATTTTTTATACAGGCAGTGAAGGAGATATACATTGAAATGAAATAGATAAACATAAATCGTGAATGCAACGTTGCATGCCCGTACAATAACGCCAGTCGCCTGGAAGACGATGCTTCATGTTCCGATTTGCCTTACGTCTCAGTGGCGCTTGGCGAAATTGCGAGTATGACGACGAAAGAGGCTACGATCAGAGAGGCCGCAACAATTGCTACCAGAGCAACACTTCCACGGCTCGCTGGAAATTTACCCCTGATGATCCAGTACTGACTTTCAAAATAGCGGTGGAACCCAATCAGAAGAATCAACAGGGCTATTCCAATGAAAGTCGTTCCGAGGGGTTTGCCGATATTCCGCAGTCGTCGTGATTCAGATGTGACTCGTATTGTTGCGGAATCATAGAACGGGGGTGAAAGGAGAGAAGGGAAGGCTTGAGAGGATACGTTGGAAGATGATGCGGTGGACGCATTCAGGCGGAAGAGCTGGGTCACTGCGATGCCAATGGAAGCAAAAGCTAATGAGGTTCTCAACCAGGCCAAAAACGTGCGTTCTAACGGCCATAGACGTTAACGAATGCTACAGACTGGAGGCTTGAAAGAGGAGAAAAAGAAAAACTGAGACGTGAAGGCACACCTAATGCAAGATGATCTCGAGCGACGCTTCCCTTATTTTCGAGTTCTACACTGCCATATCTCTCCGCCAGCCGAGTATACCACGCGACATGTGAATCGTCCAAATCCGACTGAGCGTTTGATGGATCGGTGTTCCCTCCATTTCGCTGTGCTGAATTCTTTGCAAGACCGTTGCCAGATCCGGAATCTCGATTTCTCAGGCCATCGGTCGAACTAGATTGCTGCTGTGCGGAGTGCCCATTACTTACAGCTTGATCAGCACCATTACTTGCCCGTGGCAGCCCTGATGGAGACATGCGTGCTGAACTGGAGGTTTCGGATGGAGAGGTTGAAGAGCGATGCGTTCTAGTGGCCACTCTGGCGTGGGATACAGTCAGATCCGAGTGGTCCATGATGGCGTGCTCGCCAAAATGCAGGACTAACAGTAGGCCAATTCAATATTTGCTTATTCGAAAAGGCACACCATCCACCGCCAGATGCAGATATATCGACCGTTACTTCTCCAGATTGTCATTCAGATTTCGCATCGACCATGGCCAGAGGTGCTGAGAAGACGATGGAATTGGTCAAAATCCTGCGTGATTCCTTCCCTCTTTCGCATTTATACAGCAGACTGCAGCTGTCCTCCCGTCTGATTCCTTCAGCTTGTCTTTACGCAAACAGGGTTAGTCTAGAGAGGTATTGGCTGATCACATGGTTACTGGGGATGACGCTAGTCTGCTTATGGTAATGTCGTCATGGTCCTTTTTTAGCAGGCGGTGTGGCGATGCCGCTTATCTGCTGGCACCATTTTATTTCGTCGTCACTGCTACTTTACAGTCAAGTGATTGCATTCTGGAGTCACTTGCCAGCATTTGACAGAACCAGATCGCTCTTGATGCAAACTTCTACATGATGGCTTCTCATGCGACTATTTCGTCTCCGCCAGCAGGATCCAAGTTTGATTTGTCCAAGAAGTTATCCGAGCTGCGAGCTAGTCGCAAGTCTCAGTCTGGCCCCTCGTCCAGAGAGCCCGCCCCGGTGACACCTCGTCTCCCCAGCCCACCAGATCTATCGACTCATACCTATGCACGGCCTGTTCGGCGTATTCTGTCACGGAAAGACCACGAGACATTTCTTGCGTCGTCGACCTACACTCTCGTCGTCGCCTTCATTTTCGCCCTTTCTGATTCAGTAAGAGGACGTGCGGTTACAGATAACAAAGGCCAACCTGCCTCCCCCAACATCTCCAGAATTCTATCCCTGATAGATAATATAAGACAACTCGTTGACAAACATCCTTCCATTGACCAAGGCGGTTCAAGGTTCGGTAACCCGGCTTTCCGCGATCTCTTCGATGATGTGGCTGCGCAGAGTGCGACATGGCATAGAGACATCATCGGACTACAGAATGCGGACGCCATAGATGAAGTATCATCATATTTGGTCCACTCCCTGGGATCGCGGGATCGGTTGGACTATGGTTCAGGACATGAATTGAACTTTATGATGTGGCTATTGTGCCTTCGACAGATGCAGATGATATCGACGGCAGACTTTCCAATGATTGTTTTCAGAGTTTATCTCGAATATATGCATCTTATGCGGCAGGTACAAATGACTTATTACCTGGAGCCTGCTGGCTCGCATGGTGTCTGGGGTCTGGACGACTACCATTTTCTGCCCTTCCTCTTCGGTGCCGCCCAGCTTGTGGATCATCCGTACATCACACCGTTAGCGATCCACAACACAGCAGTATTAGACGAAGAAGGAGACAGATATATCTATCTGGATCAAGTGCGATGGGTAGACAGCGTGAAGACGGTCAAAGGCCTCCGGTGGCACAGTCCCATGCTGGATGATATCTCCGGTGCCAAAAACTGGCTGAAGATTGAAGGAGGTATGAAGAAAATGTTCATCAAGGAGGTTCTGGGCAAGTTACCCATCATGCAGCATTTTCTATTCGGCAGTCTGCTGCCCGCTGACCCAAGCATGGGAGAGCGCACGGATGATGCGGAGGATGACGACCTCCACGACCATGGAGATGGTCATCCTCACGCCCGTCACACTGATCACTTTGGAGATTGCTGTGGTATCAAAGTGCCGAGTACAGTGGCCGCTGGAGCCGAAATGAGGAAACGAATTGGCGGAACAGGTCTACGACCGATTCCTTTTGATTAGCATCTACGTTCATGACGAATAACTACAACCTACATTAGATCTATCAATGAAGCGAACACTTAAAATGCTATTTTCACCCAGGAAGTAGTGCAGGGTATTCCAGGCGTTTTGAGAAATCCAGTCAAGAAGCGAATCAATTGAGCAAGAGAACTCACCATATCCTATCCCAAGCAAGCCCTTTCAATGACGCTCCCTCAAAGTATAAGGTACCTACCAACACCCAACCAAGAACAGCAGAGACCAGGCGCCAGAAACCCACGAGGAACGATGGACCCATTCACCCCTCCATAGACAACGCAGCCAAATCGCTCTTCAACTTGGTAACATAATTATCCGCCCTCCTATCATTATCCCTCTGGAGAATCCGCTCAAGCGACATCTTCGCATCCTGCAGCCGCCGTTCGAGGACCGTCCCAGCGGCCTTGAGCACCTCCTCCGCCTTGTTATCAGCCACAATTACTTCCATCAGCATCCCCTCGTTGGGCGCCTCGCTCCGAGACGACCACAGAGTCGTCTTCTTGTCGCGGAGCTCTTGGATCGCCGTGTGAAGGATTTCGCTTTGGGTCAGTGGGTCGCCGTGCAGGGGGAAATGGACGTACCAGGTGTATCCTGTGGGCTCTTGGCCTCGGAGGTATCGGGTGAGTTTGAGAAGGCCCATTTTGCTCTCGTTTGGCTATGATTGTGATTCGATGAGTTTGTAGAGTGCTGCGAGCTGTAATGTATTGCTGGTGCAATGATTGAGGGTGGTGATGCATTCAAGGCGCTATTTATATACAGTGAATGAGACATCTAAATTGAAAGTAAAGGGTGCAGTATCAGACATGCGAGAAAGAAGTCTTCATAGTTTGAGACCACACGGGGCTTCCGTGCATTATCGAATCTGCAAGATGAGTCTGGGCCTTCAAGACAATACCTTTGTGTACTACCTGTGCTCCTCTCAATGATTCCTTTGTAGTTGCTCGCAGTTAAGGTCTTAGGACTAACGAAGCGCAGATGGTAGTAACTGAGGCAAGTTGCCTGTGCCTGTCTTTCCGAAAGTTGGCTTCTCATTTGATGTCTTCAGGACATTGCAAAGAAACAGCTTTCTATTCAGCCATTCCAAAACTCCAACGCAAAAAACCCACAGGAAGGATATTCGCAAAAACCCATTCGATCCATATCTAAGCTCTTTCTACTTCCCTCCTGCATCCTCCAAACTCAAACTAGCCAGGCACTTCTCTGCCAGCCTCGTCTGCGTCCTACTATGCATCTCCATTCTATGAAACTCCAGATGCCGTTGAGCAATACGGTACGCCGCACGCCGAATTGCCCCCGGGTCGGAGTACCGAGCCTGGACCTCAATCATGAACCCGGAAATGGTATTCTCTAGGTTACGCGAAGAGTAGATCTCGCAGCGGCCGGCTTGGATGGCGCTGCAGATGGCGTCGAAGAGGATAACCTTGTCGTGGGCGTAGCCGGAGGAGAGCGGCACATGGACGTACCATGTTGTAAGGGTGTCTGCCGTGAAGAGGTCGTCTTCTCCGTCGGAGAAGAGGCGTTCCATGATCGTCCTGGGGGATTGTATATTTGTATTGTAGAGAAAAGTCTTGGGGGGCTTAAGGTAGAGATTGGAATAGTTGACGCATGAGTAGGGAGCCACGATGCGGCAGAAACATCGTCCTTGAGACTTTATACGGAAACGAATTGAAGCTCAATACAGAAACGGATCCCAAGATTGAGATCAAACAGAGCATTGAGGTTTCAAAGAGAGACCGCTCAAGATGGTATGATATCAAGAGTCCAATGAGGCCGTCATTGTACCCTAGTATTCAGCATGGCAGGAAGATACCTTTGTGTGGAAAGAACAGACATGCAGTAACTAATGGATATCTCCTTGCTGTTGAGTTATCAAGCACAGCATCCTTAGACATGATCATCCTTTGTCCAGATCATGTTGTCCTCCACCAGACAAAGAGAGCGCAAACAAACAAGGAAGGCACACTTCCAGAATCCATCTTTGGCATCATGTCTTAAATTTGGAAACAGGATTTCTGTGGAACGTTTTACTTACTATTCCTTCCATCCATATCACTTCTATAATGACCAGAGTCCCTGAATCCAAGTAGAAGAAAACACGCTAAGCCAAAAAAGTAAATAATCACATGACCATCGACATCTACAACGCCTTATCCACTTACAACACCCCATCATCACCAGGACCACGCCAAAGTAAAACATATTATTGACCATATAACTCTCGCCAACGAACACATAAGCCACTGTCTTGGACGTCTAAAACCCCAACAAACCAAGAAGAAGCTCCAAATGGCCCCCGGCGACGAATACACAGCCGGCGGGGGCGGCAAACTCAAACTCAAAGGCTCCAAAGTCAGCGACGGCCGAGTAGAAAAGAAAAAGAAGAAGTCCAAGAAGAGCAAATCCGACAACGATGGTGAGATTGGCTCCGCACCGCCCGAAGCTAGACACCCAGATGAAGACGGGAGGAGCGAGGACCACCACCCGGACCATCACACACCCCCAGATGATGCGGGTGCAACAGTAGGCAAGACAGAAGCGGAAAGGAAGTACGAAGAGGCGCGAAAGAAGAGGGTACGTATCTCATTCTGCCTACAGACTCTATCCACGCTTTCTTTGGCGGTGGAAAGGTCTACGAATAAGGGACAAAGCAGCTGATATCGGAGTAGCTCTTGGAACGTCTAAAGCGGGAAGGAGTCAAGACTCACAAGGAGCGAGTGGAGGAGTTGAATAAGTATTTGAGCAAGCTGAGTGAGCATCATGATATGTATGTGCTTTTCATTTCTTGTTCGCTTGTGAAATGGCATGGACTGACATATGTTGCTATAGGCCGAAGATTGGGCCCGGTTAAATGGAATTTGGAGACCTTTTTCTGTTGTATATGTACGCATCTTATTCAGTAATCTTGGTTTTCGCTTCAATTACTTCTTCATGGATTGCCTCGAGTTCTCATTTCTCAAGCTATTGGACGTAGCATGGGCCACTGCTCTAACGTCGTTGAGCATCATATGACACGAGATCAGGTTGAGCTCCCACTGGCCCAGATGCCTGGGATTGCTGGCGCGCTATGCGGCCTAAGCTACGAGGGTAGCTGCCTTAGTTGCCTCACTACAGCCTATCCACGACTCAAGGCCATTGGCGAGCTCCCCGAAATCGATGAGATTGGTGTCGACTGTACAACCAGTTATGTGCGACACCCAAGCGGGGAGACGACAGCAGGTCCGAGCGGTCTACTCTACGCTGAAAATTATGACTGTAACTGAGGAAGAAAGGAGAAACCAAATCGTCTCAGTTGTAGATAGAACAGTAGTCTATGGATGGCTGAACACGATGCCGTATCCGCGCAACAAATCGATATTGAAGATTGTAGTGAATCATCAAAACTCCAATGTATAAACGCCACGCGTATCAATGATAATGAGATGGACAAACAACCATCAAAAATAAAACCCAAGAGAGTATCTCCCAACCCAAAGTGCCAAAAACAAAAAAGATTTGCAGAATGTGCAGCCGACAGGAACAAAAACGAATTCGTTGATGCTCAGACCGGCCAAGGTATTAAATCGAGTCACAACACCGCGCTAAACTCAACGGGCTTAATCGACTGCGACGTAGGATGAGATGTGGATAGAAAGAATTGTCGAAGGCGAAATTGAGGGAGACGCGAAACCCGTCCCAGGTTCTTATACGCCCTTGATGACTTGGGTACGCTCGCTGTTGAGCTTGTCGGCGTTTCGGGCATGAGACTCCTTCTTGCAGTCCTCTAACCCCGTACAGGAGTGAGCCTCCAGCATTCTATGTTTCGAGCAGTAGTGTCCATTGCAAAAACTGCAGTCACCGACGATCCGCTGAGCGGCTTCCTTGCACTCTTTGAAGTTGCAGCGAGGCTTGCGGGGCGCCATTTTCATAGAAAGTTGATACAAGAGCTAGGTAAGGTGGTTGCAAGGAAGAGGTCGAGGAAATATATATCGACTCGGTTGGATGAATGCAGTCAAGAAGGATTCGAGGAGAACCGTACGGACGGGTAGGCGACGAGGTTGAGAGTAGAGGCGATTGATGGCGAGGTCGCGGGTAAGATAAGGAGGTTCGAGAGCAAGGGTAGGGAGAAGAGTAGACAGTTGAGGAGTCAAGTCGATAAGGAGAGAGATAAGAAGGAGGAGGAAGTAACTGCTGCCAGCGGCTCGGCTATATATATGTCTTTCAAAGAGGATCGGAAAGCAGACCGATAATCGGAAAGCACGGGAGTGGAACAATAATAGGTGGTATCTAGTGAAAGGATGGATGGGGGTTGAGTTTTGCTGGAAATTGAGGTGGCAGTGAGGCAAAAAAAGAAAAGTCAATTTGTACAAACGGATACAGAGACAGGAGGCGACGGGGAAGGGATCGCCTTAATAATTAAAGAATGGATGGAGCCAGATGATGCTGCTGATGAATAATATTACCTTCGTTAACATGGGAAGAACTGAGGAGAAACTGGAAGAGAGGGATGAATGCTGAGTCACAGTACCCAGCCAGGTAGATAGGCTAGATTGCTTCATTTGGAGACATCTACGTAGGAGGTTGTATCATAGTAGTACCTAGTAATTATTCATGATACTGATAGTACAGAATAGTACACTAGTGCTGCCGCTGATCCAGGAGGGCTCCATTTTTCACTCTACTTTTGTACATATTGAATTGCACACTTACTACTAGTGATCTAGTGTAAGTACTTATAGCTACCTGATGGAGGCAAAATCGGGGGTGGAGCCTGAGGCCTCTGAAAAGTTACAGTTTCCAAGTCCCAAGTGTTCACTTGCCCGGCGCACGAGGTCGGTTTGCCTTCAGTACCACACCTTGCGATCATCTGGGGCATCATCGGCGTCCTCTCGAGGTTGCAAAAGGTCTACAAATCATTATGTTACCATCAAGAGTTGGCGAGATTAGTGCTGTAGTACTCCGTAGGCGAGGCAATACTCCGTAGATAGTATTATTGAGGCCAGTGGCTCTTCATTACGCAGTACTCCGTACTATCTATTAAATCATCGTCTGGTTCGGTGTTTCACAGAACCAAGAAGGCTTTCAAACACTAGACTAATAGTACAAGAAAAGGGGAAAAGATCCAAAAGGACAGTTCATCTCTACAGGATGTCGACTGAATGAGCAAGTCACTCTCCCCTTTCCGCTGGGCGAGGTGACGACTCCTGCGGAGTACCTTATGACCCTTATGACCCCTATGAATGCACCGACCCATTCTGGGTTCAAACTACGCATAGTTATCTATTGAATAGCGCCTGCTACTGAACGGCACGCAAGTTATCTCACAAGTCAGATCGTATAAGGCAGATCCTGGCTATGACTATCATTTCAACATCACAAGTCCACAACAATGCAGGGCAACTGCTGGAGCCTATGACGGAGCATCCCGAGTCCACCTGATCGGAGTCGCTACCTGTTCGATACAAGCCGTTCGGATATCAGCTATTATTTACTATACTAGCTGTTTTTCACTGCACTGTATTAATGTCTCTGGGATTAAGATTAATCAACTGATTCAAGTGACCGACCGAACCGATGGCGTTCTTCATTTTGGGAGTATCTACTGGTCGGCCTTCTCCGCACCGACAATGAGTCACGTGAAATACGTGTCCCAGCACTCAGCGACTCGAATGACCAAAAAGAGCATCAAACTAATGACTAACTGAAAATTGAGACTAGTCTGTATAACAGGTCCAGCAATTGTGCATATGTTGATAAAACCCAGCATGAAAATGGGCTTTGTCTGAATCGCGTGCAGATTGCTTGCGGTTGGCGCAACTCGATGAAACTGCAATGGTGCGGAGTAAAAGCCACTAGCCATCTCTCTAGCTATCTTCAGGTTGCTAAAGTAGCTACTTACCTCGGGAAGACGAAGACCGCCAATGATGCAAGTATCCTTGGTTCTCGCGACAATCAACCTCTTTTTCCTGGAAGATGACCAAGTTGCAACACATGATAAGCTGGGACTGGGTGTCATTTTACCATCTTAAGTCGGTTGAAAACGCCACTAACTGCACTATTGTAGCTGCCTACATCTGGCCTGCAGAGATAGCACAATATACTTTTGAGTTGGCGGATGTGCGTGGTTCCATTGAGTTAGACGGTTTTGATCCATTTGATAAGAACCAAAAGCGCCACGTTACCCCGTTGGCATATTTACCTTAGCGTTCACAAGGTAGATAGATAGGTACCATAGTCGATACGGGAGTAGCGGACTACCACTGCGATACCCAGTGCTCGGTATGGAGCACTATCAGGTACCTCGTAGCGCTAGCACTCGTTGGACAGCTCATGACAATTTTTGAAACACGACGGAAAAATGAAATATGTGAAGAGAACTGACTCAACCATCTTCCTTGGGCACAACCACCCACCTCCTCCTGCAGTATTTCAGAACCCCACAGTCGCAGCTGCCGCCCATCCGCCCAGCTCAGGATAAGACATAGCCCATTTTTTCGTGTATATTTGAGATATCATATCCAGTGAAAGGGATATGCTCCCGCGCTCTCTTTTGAATACCGCCCACACGCCAACTATTCCACCCATATCAGATTCATGCAATACGTGGTTCTGTATAGTCGATTGATTCCACAGTCGTCAAAGTACCTAGAGCATGTGGAAAATGAATGATGCACGTACTTCGTGGTCCATGCGTTGTCAATCATAGTTGACGACGTTGGGCTCATACACTATCTATCTGCAGCACTAACGCCTCGCAGCTGTAAGGCTTACGAGTGTAAGGCGCAATCGCTACGTCCGTGCCATGCACTCTACTACTACATCCGTATGCAGCTCAAACTCCCATTAAGTGGTCCCCCGGGCCTGAAAATGCTGGACATTCGATGTCGCATTATTCGTCTCTATCTCCTCCTATAAAGTCTTACCTGAAACCTTTTCCATGGAGGAACGCCCATGATCAAGAGTAGGAGTATTCGCAAGGATATAGCAAAGTAAAAGTAACAGTAAACGCCTCTTACCAAAGTTCAACCCATCAAAAAAAGCCATAGCAGCAGCGTAAGGAAATCAAGAAGCAACGCCGATTTGCAGAAATTAGCCATCCACTACGCACTGGTCGTGATCACACCCCCATCTCCTTCTCCTTGCCCGCATCTGGGTCCAGATAGTCTTCTCTTTCTGCTGCCTCATATTCACCTACAAGGTCCATCACCACAGCCCGCGCTTCGTCAAATTCGCCAAGACCGTCCGTAAAGGGGCTCTCCTTCTTGTACTGTTCCAAAAATGCGTTTCGTTTCCGCAGGCGGTCGTACTGTTGGACAATTCGTTTGAAGAGAGTGGCCACTGACGTGTGATTCGCCAGCATCAGGCCGCTAACGCGGTGCGTGTTTTGTATGTATGGAGATTTCTTGGTCAGGGCGACTTGGATACTAGCCGGACCCCAAGGGATGAAGGATGCCAAGCGTCGCTCGCGGATACGCAGCAAAGACTTGTGCACATCTGTGGGATCTGCTTCACCCTGGATGATGTTGAGGATACTCATGTAGCAACTAGACTTGCTGGGGTTGATTGAGACCATGCGGTTCTTCGGCTGCAGCAGGCGGCGCATAACGTCTAGAACGGTGGTCTTGCGAACTGTCTTTGCTTGGTCGACATTGTCACCGGTAAAGGGTGTATATGATGTGATCAGGAAATGGCTGCGAGGTGTGGGGATAAGAGAGGCGATGATTCCAACAAGATCATTGTGCATGTAGCCGGGGTAACGGAGGGTGGTAGTAGAGGCTGACATGACGGTGGATACCTATCGAGAGTGAGCTTCCTTTGTATCCGGTTTAGTTGAGCAATAAGGGAGACTCACAAGCTGATTCGTCTGCTGGAACGAAGGCTCTTGCACATGAAGTCTGTCTGCAACAATCCTCGAGAGTGCACCATTGTCGAGAACAACCTGACAGTGACTTAGTCCTATCAATTGGGTAATACTGTAGATGGAAACTTACCACAGAGTCAGCATTCTGCGTCAGTCTCCTCATGGCTAGCAGACTGTTGTACGGATTGACCACGACATCCGCGGACTGGGTATCTGGGAAAACCGAGTATGTCTGAATCAACTTCTTCGGAAATCGGTCATTCATCCGCTCTAGGATGTAGCTACCAAGTCCCGAGCCGGTTCCTCCTGCAATCGAATGCAGGAACATGAAGCCCTTTTACGACATACCAGATTAGCACAAAAATACTCATATGCGATCGCCAAAAATGTCCGATCCCTTCCATCTAAGTGTCTCACCTCTAAAGAATCACTACCGTCCGCTTCTCTGTCAATCATGTCGAAGACCTCCTCTTGTACAACCTCGCCGGCGGCGTAGCCGGCACCCCAATTGTTCCCAGCACCAATGCCTTGCTGACCGATGAAGAAGTTCTCGGGATTGTAGATATTCTTGTAAGGTCCGCTTTGTATTGAGTTCAAGACCTGTCCATGCAAGCTCAGCTCAGATCAGGAGAGAAATAAATCGCAGCGCATTGGTAGAGGGTGAATTCGTACTCTTGGCTCTAAGTCCAGAAGGATCGCTCGGGGGATATATCTGGTATCATCGCTCTGATTTCACCAAAGGTCAGCTCACTCAAACCAAGCTCCAAGTCCGACACGCCGCACAAAGGCTCTTACCTGGTAGAAGAAGACATCCTTGCGATCCCCGCCTTCTGTCGCAAACTCTTCCAAGTTCCCATCCTGGCTAATCCCGTGCTCAAGGCAAAGCTGTTGCCAGAATTGACTGCCGACTGTACAAAAATCCAGTTAGCGGGATCGTGGCGTCGCAAGAGTGTCATGTCTAATGAGGTTGCGGACGGCTGGTTTGCGTCGCTCGAGATTCATACCGTTGTTGCCGCACTGGCCGGCTTGAATCGTAATTATTTCTCTGAAAACAACTTGAGTATTAGCTGGCTTTATCTCACATAGAGGATCAGATAGAATAATTGGGCAAATCGTGGCACATACCTGGGCATCGTTTTTCTTGACCACCAGAAGTAGTCGAGGTTATAGCCTACGCGTAGCGCGTTTTGGCGGGGAATCTTAGCTTGGAGGTGGACCGCCTCAGGTACACAACGTTAGGTAGCTATCAGTGGTGTCTGAAACTTTCTAGAGCAATAATGGAGTCATAGAACCAAGATTGTAAAGTCGATCGATTCCAAGTCGGCCATTAACTGGCACCGTGTATATGAATGATTAAATTTCTTATTCTATCCTGCTTTTTGGATGTCAATGTGCAAGCTGCTTTCCGGTCCACGTCTTGAAGTAATTATTATGCTAAACCACAATCAACATCCCAAATCTGAACCATGGAAAATCACTGAACGTCGTGCAGTTGACCGTGGCACGCCATGGAGTATCATATGCTGCATGCCTTATATGTTCCAGGAAAAGACGAAGTACGCCATGCTCAAGTGTCTCAAAATCCCGCCTTGCAAGCAGTCACAAGCATACCGGCCCCGGCGACTACGCCATCAACTATCCTCACTCGTCGGCCTTGTCGTTCACCATATGCCCTGATACATCCATCCCGCACCGCTTCCTCCATGCCTGACATTCCCGCACAGCCCATGCAAATGGCACTTAAAGGATACGACGTGCTTTTGATGAGGCTCTCTGTCGCATCGCTGATTCTTCTCCTCACCTCTTCGGCAGGCGTAGTATGTAATTCTCCGGCTGTCAATCCAGTGGTCTCCACACCCGCAAAGCGAGAAGTAGAGCCGTTGCTGTCGCCAGAATTCACGATCATCTCTGTGAGCGCTCTTGTCAGTTCGTCTCTCCAGATGCTGCCAGTGGTAACTATGCCGAATGTATCTTTCGCTTGGGATTTATGAAGGTTTGCATCTCCTGTCAGATGGAAAGAGCTAATGAGGGAGAGAGAGGTCAAGACACTAGCTTCGAATATGCCTGTCACATATTTCTTTCGGTACTCTGGTACTGCGGAGTCTCTTCTGGAGGACGTCTCCTCAAACTCTGTGATCGCCTCTTTCAGCATGCCGACTAAGGGATGAGCCGAATAACATGCCACAAGGAATGCGTCGTATCTTGGGATAAGCGGTTCGACAAAGGGCCTGCAATGCAAGGCTGATGTGATAGAATCCTTTCCCGAGTCGATGCTAGGCACTCCGTTGATAATGCGCCCATCCGGGAGTGTGACAGACTCACTGGAAGGTGCCGTGAAGTAATCAAAGTAGATATCTGCATAGTCCAAGCGCTCTAGGATGGGTTTGAGTGCGTTCGTCATGTGGGTTGAAGTGTTTGGGTTGATGATTAGGACCGAGAAACGGTTGTCGTTCGGTGCAGCCATCTTGGAGCAGCTTATTGCTATGACTTGACCTGGACTTCGACGCTGACCCACTCGGATCCGATGTTCGTTGCTATAAATGCGATTATGCTGTATAACTTGGGGAATTGGATGTTCCGACGGGATGGGGTTTCCCAGGTGTCTGCAGCAATGTGCCTGGTTGTCCCTCCCCACCGAGACACTAGTCCATGCCGAGGATCGAAGACTTCATCAAAGATCAAGTAGCTTCCAAAAGGCGGCCTTTAAGGTCAATTAAGCTTAATCGGCTTCTTGCAGTCATGCTTTGTATTCTCGATTACAATGTTTGACTCTGCCCACTCTATGACGAGATCAAATGAGCAGTGTTCCAGTGCGGGGTAAGGGAACCATCTATTCATTCCACCATAGTCGAGAGGTGTTTGAGGCCTCGTATTCGCATCGTATCCCCTCTTTAGCGGGCTACTGTGGGTATCATTGTCTTGCATGTGGACATGGGATTCTGTATTATTAATTAAGAATGTCAGAGCCTGAATACAAAAAGCGACAATGACCCCGAACCTCGTCATCCCAGCGGAAGGTACACCTGACCTCGGTATTCCATCAGATTCCACCTTCAGCCTTTGAATATCACCCACTACACTCACACTCGATTCTCAGAATGCCTTTGGTTGTGCCATCCGCTACGCCGAGAGTCATCCTCGGCTTGATGACCTTTGGGCCAGATGAGTCCGAAGGTGCTCGCATCACGTCACTCGACGACTTTAACAAGTGCTTGGATCATCTCCAGCAGCAAGGTTACAATGAGGTTGATACTGCGCGAGTCTACGTGGGAGGAAAACAAGAGGCTTTCACAGCCCAAGCAAAGTGGAAGGAACGTGGACTGACCCTAGCGACGAAATGGTACCCTCATACCCCCGGTGCACACAAACCCGACGTTCTTCGTGAGAACCTCGAGCGTTCTTTGAAGGAACTGCAAACCGACCAAGTGGACATCTTTTACCTGCACGCCGCGGATCGATCCGTGCCTTTTGCTGAGACTCTCGAAGCCGTCAATGAGCTCCACAAGGAGGGAAAGTTCGTGCAGTTGGGCTTGAGCAATTACACTGCTTTTGAAGTTGCGGAGATAGTTATACTCTGCAATGAGAGAGGTTGGGTTCGACCCACAATCTACCAGGCGATGTATAATGCTATCAGTAAGTATCCTCTTGCTGTGACCTAGATCTGTCTGCTATAAGGCCCCGTTCAAAGTGTAGTTACTGACGCCAATAAACACAGCGCGCAACATCGAAACGGAGCTTATTCCCGCCTGCAAGCGCTATGGAATAGACATCGTGGTCTATAATCCGCTGGCTGGTGGTCTGTTCTCTGGCAAATACAAGACTAAGGACATTCCTGCGGAAGGAAGATATAGTGATCAGTCTTCACATGGAACCTTGTACCGGGGACGTTATTTCAAGGACGCGACATTCGACGCTCTGCGGCTGATCGAGCCTGTTGCCGAAAAGCATGGGCTAACCATGCCTGAGATTGCGTTCCGCTGGATCCATCACCACTCCGCGCTCAACATGAAGGATGATGGCCGCGATGGTGTCATTATTGGCGTGAGCAGCCTCGCGCAGTTGGAAAACAACCTCAAGGATATCCAGAAGGGCCCCTTGCCTCAGGAAGTCGTCGACGTATTGGACCAAGCCTGGTTGATTGCGAAGCCGACCGCTCCAAACTACTGGCATCTCGACTTGAAATACACCTATGATACCCAAGCGGCCTTGTTCAAGCCTAAACCGAGGGTGTAGCTCAACCAACCACCGTATCTGGATTATACATTGCCCTTGTTCAATAGATATCCGCAATTCACTCGTGCAACCTTTCTTTGTGATTTTCTGTACAGCATCATCTTGCGTCTGCGTCTGATACTTCCATGTAGCAATCTGGAATATCGTCCATGTACTTAAGCCGTCCGCCGAAAATGAACCAAGCAAAGTCCTTCGGATCACGGGTAAGTTTCTGGCGTCATCCGTTCCACCCGCTTTGCTTAGAGCAAAGGAGGAAAATTGAGTCCAAGGCAAAGGATCGAGGAAAGATACCAAACGTGTGAACACGACATAAATTCCTAACTTTTGAAGTTTCGCCTCAGCCATTCATATCTCCAGTCCAGGGTAGGCAGTCCCGATATCGTCATGTCGGCGTCGGAATTTCGGTCCGTTGTGGATCGCCACGTTTTTTTGCCCTGCAAAATTTGGTAACAAGCCCCATCTCTTGTCTGAGATTGGATTCTAAAATGCTGATAGATAGCAGTGTGGCCTATTTGCCATTGCAATGGTAGACGTGCCAAGCAAACAGAGGATGAATTTTCGCGGAAATCGCTGGCGCTCACTGGAGCTTGTCTCCTATGAGAACTTTGGTTGAAGACCTGATTGCAGTATGTCCGTGCTGTAAGGGACATGCATGGGTTGACAATGAGCAAGACCATCAAGTCTTGTCGCACCTCACTGCCGAGTCTCTTGAGTAGCAGCCGGCCTACCAAAGAAGGAGGCCAAGACGCAGGCGCAGCAGAGGCCTCACCTGATACGCTTCCTTGCCGCTCCTCTCTTGATGAGTACCGGTTTGCAGAGCAACACAGGGGCTGGAGACGAGTCCTGTATAGTTTCACACCATCGTACGTCTCCAATTCCTTCAAAGCCGGCTTCCCTCAGAGGGCCTGGTTAACCATGAGGTCTCTGGAAGCTACTAACATTCGTATCAGGTGGTTTTCCGTCGTTATGGGGACTGGGATGATTTCCACCGCCCTGAATACTATTCCATATAATAGTTGCTGGCTTTACTGGATCTCGATCGTCGTCTTTGCCCTCAATGTCGCCATCTTCGCCGTATGCAGCATTCTGAGTGTGCTCCGCTACACTATGTACCCGGAGACCCTTAACGCTGTCTTCAATGAACCTGCTCAGTCAATGTTCTTGAGTACATTCCACATGGGACTAGCGACTATTGTGAACATGGTCTGCTTTGTGTGCGTCCCGGCGTGGGGCAATTGGACGAGAAATTTCGCTTGGGGCTTGTGGATGGTTGATGCTTGCCTTTCAGTTATCTCCGCACTATATCTGCCATTCTCACTGTAAGTTTGCCTATTTGTGAGTGCGTGCCGCGTTTGACTAAACGAAAACAGAATGGTTTCGAATGTCGATGCACAGCTCTCCTCGATGACTGCGATCTGGCTCTTACCAACTGCGAGCTGCGTTGTGGCTTCAGGAACTGGTGCAGTCGTTGCAGACCTCCTTTTGGATCCTAATCATGCTTTATTGACTATTATCGTCAGCTATGTCCTATGGGGAGTTGGCATTTGTTTATCGATGATCGTCTATGTTATCTACTTTCAACGGCTTACTGTGCACAAATTGCCGCATAAGGGAGTTATCATGAGCGTGTTCTTACCGATGGGACCTTTGGGGTCCGGCACCTTTGCGTAAGGCCCCAGGATGAGCTTCATCATGATCTACACCTAACCCGTCATATTTCAGGGCCATGAAACTTGGTACAGCTGGAAAGACTGTTCTATCAAAGACTCAAACGTTGAATGACAGCTCTGCCGCCTCGATAGTTTACGTTGCAGGCGCAATGACCGCACTAATCCTCTGGGCTTTTGGTCTTCCTTGGCTTTTCTTTGCCTGCGCATCGGTCCTGAAATCCTTGAGGTTTCCATTCAATATAGGTTGGTGGGCTTTCACTTTTCCAGTTGGTGCGTATGCGATGGGAACATGCCAGTTAGGGAGGCAGCTGCCTTCTGCATTTTTCAAGGTCCTGGGAACGGTAAGTTTACACAACCGATCGATGTTGCAATCAAAGTCTAAGACTTACATCAGGTCATCTCGTTAATTGTCGTGATCCACTGGATGGTCATCTCTGTCAGTACACTCAAGGGAGTCGTCTCTGGAAAAATTTGTTGCCCCCGGAGTCGCCAGTGTACAACGCCAGGGCAAAGAGGAGAATGATTCGGAAAGCATCTCATAATCTTGATGCGGAATCCGCCCTGAATAACTGCATCCTGGCTGAGTCGGACTCGAAAGTGGAGCGGCAATACAGTCTCCATCCTACAAGGAATGTGAGAGTCATGCAAGAGATCGTATGCAACAACCATGATCTATCTCTTGATATCAACACTCTCTTTCGGGACACGGAAACCAACATATGTTTATGCATTCACAAGGACTTGGTTTGTACAAGACCAGATCTGGAATACGACCCTATCAATGGTTTACAGCTTCGTCCTTCCCTCATGACGAGCCACAGGGGAAATGTGCGTCATGAGAGACCCGGGCCTTGTTTCCAACGTTATCGAGATTGCTGGCCTTATTCGCGCAGAGAAAGTTGCATCATCTGTCGCTCGGCCGAACAACATGTCCGAATCTAGCGTTGCATCTGGATTCCAAAGGTGAAAGAGGGTAGGATTCTAGCGCGCCATTTTCCATACGATTCCGTGGACCTTTCGGGCCGTTGTAGCGAAGACTGCACCATTCCTCACTAGGGCATTCTAGACAGCTCAAGGCAGGCTAGGCATCACCGAAAGGCACAGCTCGCCACATAGCCGGAGACCTCATAGTAGACTTGTGCGTATCACCCTTACATCGAGGTCTGGGTCGTTATGCAATTCTCATGGGATGAGAATCGAGAAAGCCGCCGATATTCATAGAGACTGGACTCTCTTATCACATACTGCAGATGTCGTTTTCAGCATTCCAGACCTCCCGGTTAGCCTCAATTGATCAGAATACTGCCTCAAATCGCGCATCCATCCCTTGCGTAGCCAAACTGCAGAACACAAGCTATTAGACCTACAAAGAATAGGGTGACAAATGAGCCAAACAATGACCGAACTCAATACCCGCAAACTCCACAGATCGTACCGAGTTCAGCTGATAGAAATCATAAGGTTGACAAGTATTCTCGTGAGGAATTCCAGCGGACATCACAGGCTTTCGCCCCAGACTACGGCAACAACCGATGCCGCTCCGGCATTTGCGCCCCTTCGGGCTTTTAGTGGACGTCTAGTAACTTGCTAATGATCCGGTCACACATCTTCATACCGCATCATTAAGAAGAATAGTGACTTCCCGAAGGTCTATTGTCCCCACATCGACGAGCGCCTGGACTCTAGATCAAGGGGCCTCATGCCGCCGCTGTATGTGTTCAGAGAGCTTCTGTCGAAATCTGGAGACCGGATGGCTGCATCTCTGTCAGACACCAAGCGACGAGCAGCTTTAGTCGTGTGATACTGTGGGACTCGAATCGAGAACGAGTCCATTGAGGTTTACTTTACAGCACAAGCCCCTTGTTTGATTCTAGAGTGAGGAGCACCAGTGACTCTTTTCATATGTGAGGACCTGGCTTTAAAATGGACATCATGGCCTCTCTGGACCCCTGCTCAGAATACAGCCTCGGCATTCTTGACAACAGTCTTTTCTTCTCGGTCTCAGCAGGATGTCTCTTGTCATTGCTCGTTCAGCCAAGAAAGAGCCTTTAGAGCCTATCTCGCCTACAGATTCCGATCTTGAGAAGAAGACTCCAATAAGCCTAACACGAATTCTATCATCTACAGAAAAGTCTGACCTCGGCGATGTATCTGACAAACGTCGTTTCTGGTTTCAGCGGTCTAAAGGCGACAAGTCGAATGTCATTGCTACCCAGCCGTCTGTCTTCGATGACCCGGAGTTAGCAGAAGAATACAGACCCCGACCAGATTGGGAAAATATCCATCGGTTCGATCCATCGGCTAGATGGTCATGGGGTGAAGAGAACGTGTGTTAACAATCATGAATAAGGATCACTTCGCAACCCAGACTGACAGCGATGTAGAAAGTTGTTCGGAAGATCGATCTTCGTATTACCTTATTGGCTTGTGTGATGCTTCTGGCATTGGAGCTTGATAAATCCAATATCCGTACGTGCTGCCTATCCAAATGTGCAACCTTGAAGATCGCTGAACATGTATGAGCTCAGAACAAGCCAATGCGGACAACTTCTTGACCGATTTACACCTGACTCGGGACGGTCAGTCTGCGCAAGACATCAACTCCATCTTCAATAGGCTGACAGGGTCTTCTATCACTTCAGATTATAACTTGGGAAACACGATTAGCAGGCTATTCTACCTACTCGCCGAGGTACCTGCACAGGTCATGGCAAAATGGCTCGGCGCCGACAGATGGGTTCCTTTCCAGATGACATCATGGTCGATCGTCGCTCTGTGCCAGTTCTGGCTCTCTGGCAGGACATCCTTTCTATGCACAAGGGCTCTTCTGGGGTTGCTATCCGGGGGTTTCGTGCCAACAGTCAGTGGTTTCGCAGACATGATAAGCTTATTTTGCTCATGTATAACAGATGATCCTCTACCTTTCCTACTTCTTCAAACATCACGAGCTTTCCATACGTCTCGGCTTCTGGTATACAGCATCTTCTTTTGCGGACATCCTCGCTGGGTTTTTCGCTTTTGGGATTCTGCACCTACGGGGAGTTGGTGGTCGTGCCGGTTGGCGTTGGCTTTTCTTGATCGAGGTTTGTGGCAGGTCAAGTTCCTCTGTTTCGATGCTCATTATCCACACACAGGGGCTGCTCACATTGACGCTTGGTCTCCTTGCTTTCATCCTCATGCCACCGTCACCAACGCAGACGGCGAATTGGGCCCGAGGCAAGAAGGGATGGTTTACAGAGAGGTATATCTTTTACTCCCATGGCACACTAGAACATGCTAATGATGGTTTGTGGATAGAGAGGAGATTATCATGGTCAACCGTATCATCCGAGAAGACCCCAGCAAGGGCACTATGCATAATCGCCAGCCGTTGACCCTCAAACTTATTTGGCAGAGTTTCAAAGACTACGATCTATGGCCCTTGTATATCATAGGAGTTTTGTTCCTGATACCTAGTAGTGAGTACAGTACACCATTCGACCAAATGGATCTTCTGCCGAAGCCAGCTAATGTCAACAGCAACAATATCGCAATACTTTACCTTGCTCTTAAAAGATTTTGGATTCAGCACATTCAACACGATTTTGCTTTCCATTCCATGCAACGTATGCAATTTCAAGATCAGCCACCAATCTTTGCTGCATACTGACTTTCGACTAGGCGATGGGCGCTGTGACCCGAATAGCCCTTGTCTACGGAGCTGAGGCCTTCGAGTCCCTTGCGTATATGGGCATTTTAGCCCAGTTGTGGACGCTGCCAATGCTCCTTTATATGAATGCGGTTAATTTCAGCCAAACCAACAAATGGGTCGCATGGACAGTACTCACACTGATGCTTTCTTTTCCAAACCGTAAGCACCTTTTGGCCTAAAAGTCGTCTGGGGCACAACTAACGAGAATTCCTCCTCAGCCCATGCGCTTCACGCTGGGTGGAACTCTCGCAACTCGAACAGCGTGCGAACGCGGACAATCGCAGCCGCATTATACAACATGTCGGCGCAGACGTCTCAAATCATTGGTTCGAACATATACCATGACTGTGAGTGTGGCCAGATCCATCTGTGAGCGCCCTTTTGTTCCTTGGCTAATTAGGCATTCACTTTTGCTGCAATAGCGGATGCTCCTCGCTATGTCGTTGGAAACAGGACGCTACTCATCCTCGCTTGCACGAACATTGTCCTCTATGCCTTGACCAAACTATACTACGTGATACAGAATCGCCGCCGGGATATGAAGTGGCAGGCCATGACAGAGGACCAACGAGTTGACTACGTTGCGACAACACAGGATCAGGGGAACAGAAGACTGGACTTCAGATTTGCGCATTAACAAACAGCATACGTAATGATTCTTGGCCTCTACAGCAGTATAGACCATCATTAGCAATAGAATTGAAATTTGGTCGTTTAAGAATAGAGATCTGGTTAAATGAACGCCTGATGCATAAGGCGCCAAGAGCCTAAGCCTGACCAGGTAAGGCTATCATCACGTGTTACAGATAGGATCGCGCCACGATCCCAAAACGGTAAAGCGAGTAGCGTGCAACGCAAGGCGCCTGCTGCGTTTGGATGGCACACTCACGTTCCATAAGCATTGCCAACTATCACCTCCTCTCGACCGTTCTCCAGACTTTCTTGAATTTGTTTCACGTCCGGTCTCTGTCTTTTCTCCCTTCTGGTCCTGAGCGGCTGTCGGATCCGTGTTCCTTGGCTTAATCTAAGACATTAATTCAGTTCTATACTTGGCAAACGTGGCCGCAGCAGCAGTACTTCCCGGACTACGAGAGCGCATTCTTTTTAAGGCTGCATGTCCTCGCAATCTCAGAAACCATCTCGTCTTGGAGAAGGCTGAATTGCATAGTCGCGATCCTCTATCCAGCTTCCCCTGCATGGATGGTCCATTCTCTACCTCTTATTTCTACGTCCTAGCCCCCATCGTTTCGAGCCGCTGCCGATTTTCGATCTAGGGTTTGTAACCGCACTCCTGTTTTCGCTTTGATTTCGCGGGAAGGAGGGGATTTTACTTCCGCATCGAAATAATCGTCAACCCTGGGAAGGGGCAACGAAATTGACCTACGGTGGCTTCAACGCATACACAACCCGAGGAGGAAGGTTGGGAACTCGAGCCGGTCCTCGACTCCCACGGATTAGATGACGAGATGTCGCCAAACCGTCCAACTGTACATCGTCCAGTAGACGGCCGCCCTCACCAGCCGTTGCTACAGGATGAACGTCGGCGATTGTCGAACACCGATTTTGGCCGTGACAATGCGGAAAACAGGCCTATGCTGCACCATTCCAGGCGGCCGACGATCAGGAGTCCCGAGTATTCTGCGGAGCTGGCGACTCGGCGAAAGTACATGATTGCGTCGGGATTCTTGCTGTTGAGCTTGGCTAGTTTTGTGGTTCAGACCGAGACGGCGGTATATATCCAGCATGAGCTGCATTGGGACAAACCATATTGCATGCTGTAAGTTGAGTGGTTATGGATTGCGCCGAACTTAATCTGACTTGAATCATTCTTGCAGCTATCTCACCCACGGGTCATGGTCCCTTCTCTGGCCGGTCCAACTTCTTATCTTGCGAATACAGAAGAGGAAGCTTTCTTGGGAAGCTTTCTGGCGACGTCACGTTTATTTGTTAAGGACCACGGCGCAAATGGTTGAGTCAAGAGAGCTACACCTTACGTCGCGTGGTTTGCACCGGTCACCGATTCCCTACATGCTCGGGACGACGGCTTTTGTGACTGTAGCTCTCACCATTGCTGGTGGATCATGGTATGTGGCGGTCAATCTTACGACGGCCAGTGACCTCACCGCGATCTACAACTGCTCCGCCTTCTTCGCGTATGCTTTCTCCATTCCGCTCTTGAAAGATAAGCTGCGGTTTGACAAGGTGTTTTCAGTTGTCGTTGCCATTGTAGGAGTTCTGGTGGTTGCGTACGGGGATCGCAGCGAAAGCAAATCGACTCCGGACGGAACAGTGGGGAAAGCAAAGCAGGAAGCAGAGAACAGACTCCTGGGCAATATTATAATCGGAGTCGGAAGCGTGCTCTACGGTCTGTACGAGGTGTTGTACAAGCGATTCGCCTGTCCCCCGGAGGGCACAAGCGCCGGCCGGAGCATGATCTTCGCCAACACCTTCGGCAGCCTCATCGGATGCTTTACCCTGCTCGTCCTCTGGATTCCCTTGCCTATCCTCCACATGCTGGGCTGGGAAGAGTTTCGATTGCCGACCGGCGAGGCCGCATGGATGCTTCTCGTATCGGTCGCCGCCAATGCCAGTAAGTCTCTCGCACAGTTCAATTCTCTTTTCGTCGATTCTGACCATCGCCAGCCTTCTCGGGATGCTTCCTTGTCCTCATCTCCCTCACGTCCCCCGTTCTCTCCTCTGTAGCCGCCCTCCTCACCATCTTCCTCGTCGCCATCGTCGACTGGCTGCGCACGGGACAACCCCTCTCCGCCGCATCGATCATCGGCGGTCTCCTCATCATCGTCGCTTTCTTCCTCCTGAGCTGGAGCACCTACCGCGAGATGAACGAGGAAAAGAGGAAGAGCATCGAAGCCGAGGAAATGGAGTCCGAGTGTGATGACTAGACTTGTCTCGAATGGGCATTTATCTAATTCATCTGGTTTCTAATAGTATACATCTCCTTGAGTGTACCGCTCTTTTGGCTATCGGGATCTTGTACATAATTACTTATATTTCCGGGTTCATAGAGGGTTGCGTTTCTTTTAGATGTCGTTGCGGATAGATGCACGCTGCAATGAGCAGAAGGAATAGTGCAATGGCAGTTATTCTGCATAATGATCAATACCTAGTGCTCAACTCGCTTGCTTACTCTATACTACGTACAAGGATCGAACGGGCAGGCAGCTGGACGTCCTGGAAACCTATATGACATGTTGGTGTTCCGGAGAAGATTCTTTCAGAGGAGTAAAAAGTGGCTATATCAACACGAAGGAGTCCGATGGGGACTTTGACAGGGGGAGAGGTGGGATGGGATGGGATGTGGCTGGATTGACGAAGACCGAACAAAAGGCGACTCGACTAGCTAGTACCGAGCTTGGCCAAGGCACGGACACCTTGCTCGTCCCATTCTTGCTTGGTGACCCACATGTCCTCCTTGTCGGCGATCTGGGATATGTTAGAGACGTCGTCGAGGGAAGGTCATGAAGGGTATTTTGATTCTTACCAGATTGGCGAGCACGGCACCGCCCAGGAAGACCATGTGTCTCCGTCGGGGGGGATCTTCGATGCGCACTTTGAATTTCTGCAAGAGAGTGATTTAGCTTTAGTCATTCTCCAAGGAAGCTTAGGTTAGGATGGGGACGTACACCGAGTCGCTCGGGGTCTCCCTGGAGTACCCGCGTAAGCCACAGTTGCTTGAGTTCCTTCTCCAGCCGCGACGGCAGACCGGGGTACATGCTGCTTCCACCGCTGAGGACGATAGCCTTGTACAAGCTTGAGCGGACGTCGACGTCGGCGCCCTGGATGGTGTTGAAGAGCAGCTCGGCCATACCGGGCTGGTCGACGTCCACCAGGTGCGGTTGGAAGAGACACTCGGGGGCCTCGAAGCGCTCGCTGCCTACCCGGATGACCCGGCCGTCGGGGAGTGTGTATGATTCGACGAGAACGGTGGTGTCCTCGGAGAGCTTTTTGTCGAGCTCGAGGTCGTACGAGACGTAGCAGAGCTTCTCCTTGATCTGGCGCACTGTTTCGAAGTCGGCCGTACGGTTGAGGGCGTAGCCGCGGCGCAGGAGCAGAGCGATCAGGTTGCGGGTGACGTCGCGGCCGGCGACGTCCAGTCGGCGGATATGGTGCTTGAGGACGGTGGATTCGTAGACGGGAATAATATGTGTGACGCCGTCACCGGAGTCGACGACCACACCGCTGCTGAGACCTGGTACGAACAAAGATCAGCTGTCGTTACTAGCTGCTCGGGCCGTTGCACTCACCCTGAGCGTATAGAGCAAGTACGGCCTGAATGGCGACGTAGACGCCTCCGAAGTTGTATCCTTCCAGCATGACCTCGCACATCTTTTCGCGGTTCTTTAGGGGGTTCATTGGGGGTTCGGTGAGGAGGATCTTGCGCCCCGTAGGGTCGATTTTCATTTTCTCGTAGAAAGTGTAGTTCCATAGGTGCTGCATGTCGTCCCATTTCTTCACAATACCGTTCTCCATCTATGTTACCCGCGGACATTAACCAATGGTTCCTGAATCAACACCCTGGTGCAAAGACGGTGACGGAGCTCCGCCGGGAAGGCGAGCAACCGTTCGCAACAGGAACAGGGACATGGGAGGCAGAACGTACAGGATAGCTGATCTGAAGCATTGACCTGGCGGCTGCCGCTTCATCTCCGCACATGATATCCTTCACGACAATGTCGCCGGCCTGTTCCTCAGTTCGCAGTATGGGCCGCCCCACTATCGAGGGGAACTGGTGCTCTGGGAAGTTCTGTAGACGAAAGGCGGATGAGCATGGCGCATGATTGAGATTCTGTGCGTAATAACCGACATACCTGCGCAGCATATCCGACCTTGAGGAAACCAGTTCCTCCGTCGAGGACTAGGTATGAAAGGTTAGCTACCTGGCGGACCGGGGAAGCTGCCTGGAGAGGGAATGATGCTCACCAATGGGCATATCCGCCATGGTGGTGGTCGAATAATAAGTACTTTTCGTTATGTTAGTTCCTCCGTTAAGAAGCAACAGAAAATCCGGAGTGAAATGCGCTGTTGGGACGAAAGATGTGTATGGATCGTGAAGATGAGGGGACGGCGAGGGAGTTTGGGTCTCGAGGTGTGTTAAGCCGACGGGCTTCCCCATAGTCGTCATTAGCGCGCCGAGCCGCATTCCATCAACCGCCGTACGCATGCTACTGGAGTCATAAATGTCGCTTGATATCTTGAATTTCAGGATCGAGAATGACTAGCCAGTAGGATAATCCATTGAGCGTAATCAATTCAAGTAGACTGATGGACAGTACATTGTTGGATGACCGCGATGAGACCCCTCCGCCACGTAAACACCATATCAACCGTCAACAATGCAGTCCGAAAGAGTCTACCTGCCTATTAAATACTATGTGTACTCAAGGACGATCCGACCTTCTAGAACTCCTGGTGATTTCAGAGTTGGCAGACATTCCTACAATGCAGCAGCTACAGCCTGGTAGCAGTCTATTCGGCCGATGCCTTCCCGAGATCGGAACCGCCCGGTGATCCCCAGAATAAATAGATATACCCTCGTCCCATTCTCCAACTCTGCGCAATAACCTCATTTGCAACTCAAAATCAAGATGAGTCGAATCGGCTGGGTAAGTCTTCCTC